ATGCAGTGTAGTTGAAATAATTTTAGAGTCATTTATGATTAAAATATTCTTGTGCCGTGAGAGGATGACGTATTCTAAAGTCGTTGGGATACCATTTGAATCACCCAGGTTAGGAGATATGTATCGAGGCAGTCAAAGCTCTGTGAACGGAATAATTCATGATAGCACTGAGAATCAAAATTTTTTAAAGTGAACGGGGATAACAAAGTATTTAAAACACTAAAAGGTAGTCAGTCATGAGCGGAACACATGTCTATAGTTCATAAGGGGGATAGGAGGGAGAGGGAGAAGGAGGGCTATCTCCAAGAGAGAACATCGTACTGACGAGTCTATGGATCATCATTGTTTATAAAGAAAAAAGATCACGCCAGCAGTTTCCACTACCACTGTAACCTGGTCGTCCACCTCCATTCCATTGAAACATGACCCCCTCGCCTCAAAAGATGTCATAGTGGATATAAAAGGAAAGGGGCGTCCTTTTCAGGAACTCTTCGGGATTATCGCTTCATTATAGAGATTCCCTGGCACGGGTCTTCCTCTTATTACACGCCCATATGCTTCCAAATGAAGATAGCTNNGGGCAATCTCATATTTTCGCTATAAGAAATAGTAGGCGTATTGTCTGTCAGCCAAAGTTGTTCTGTACATTATTCGTAGGTACTGGATTCACTGCTGGACTACTGCTAAACTATTACTACTACTTACTTCAATTATTCATGAAATCGGCTGTGTTTCAGTCGACACCGGCATTTTCGAGAACGTCTGCAACACCGCCTCATCAGGAGTCCAACTTCACTCCAAATGACGCCGTCTCCGTTTTGAATAATAAAAAAGGTAATAAAAAATTGAGCGGCTCATCAATTTGGGCTTGAGATGTACACTCGTAGAGAGGAATTTCGATTCCGGGCTATTTTTAGCGCTTCTATTTCGGTTACAGCGCTTTCTGAGACCGGTTTTCTTGTGTCTTTGATATTCCAAACTGAAAGTTGTGATTTGAAGGGCCGGAACGGCATCACATTCGAAGAGCAGCAGATGAAAGACTTCAAAGAGGTCTCGAGAGTTCACTTACTCCACATGAAATACGAAACCGAATCAATCCGACGAAACGAAGCGATTTATTAGCGGGGTGAGTGGATTGGTGATCATTGAACATGAGCATTGAACTAATCGTCTAACATCAATCATCACATTGTCGTGATGGAATCCAAAAAATCTGTCCTTTCCATATATAAAAGTATTACTGAAAGATTCATTTCGACTTAACTTTTAACTGAACTCTCTATCATAGTAATTAAAGTCTATTTCAATATTTTACTTATTTATCAGAAGTTTTTTTGAAATAGATGGGTGTGTAGGTACTGTAGCTGGGAAGTCTTTAAAAATCGAGTACTGTTCCAGTAATAGTTTAGCTTCAACGTTTTCTATTTCATAAAGATTTCCTTAAACTGTAACCTTACGTTGTGTTGTGGGCGGAGTCTTCCACTGCGCGCAGGGCATCGACCAATAAGAAGCGCGCGGACACGCCGTTGCTCCAAGCGCACCTATAAATGGATAGCTATATGGGACCCGCCCCCGAGGGACCCTTCACTTTTACCCTGATAAGTTTTTAATGGCTGATTAAAGGGTTCTGATAAAAATTATAGGTTTTTGAGGTTTTTTTTNNTTTTTTTTTCAGTTTTGTTACTTTTGTAATACTTCGTAGTATGTGCTGTATTGAGTTCAAGTACGGCATACTAGACAGTTGTTCGTATATACTTAGCGCAACCTCCGCTCTAGGCGTATGTACGATCTAAAGAAAAGAAGATGAGGTTGTTGTGAAAGTCGTCAGAGAAAAAAAAAGCAAATCGTTGATTACCAGTTAGATCCAATCGAGGTTTGCAACTTCGCGAAGGGCTCTTTCCTTTAGACGAATCCGTCTGAATCTTCTGATGCATTAGATTGCGATTTCTCTGAGAAAAACTCATCGAACAGCATCGACAGGTTCCCTGACTGAACTCCTTTTAAGTGTTACGGTGTTCTGTGTGGGACCCTTATCTGTATCTGTACATAGTAAAGGGTGGGAACCGTCCATTACTTTGGTTGTAGAGGAGATAACAAAGTAAGTAAATAAACAACCATACAGTACGCCGTGTCGATCCAAAGCTACCCTATTCACATGAACCGTAGACACTTGCTCGTATATCTTTTTGGCCGCAAATCATTGTCCAGGGGCAGAACACGCCTTTGAATTCCCCCTTCGTTCTTAGAAGAAAGTCATATGCTTGATGTCAATGTGATAGGTTCCCGTTACACTTTGTCCACTTCCTTTTAGACTCCGCCTTTATGTCATGGTTTACCTGTTTACCATGACATGATTTACTTGTTTTATCAAACTTTCGTATGTTTCCTTGAAACACTTTATCAAAGACCTAGACCATACTTAAGCAATCTGGCCGAATGAAGGTTTAACATTACCAGTAACCCAAAGTGCCCGGGTCAGTGTCCGAAGGCTCGTTGGGCGAATAGACCCTCCCTTTCGGGAATAAAAGTTACTAGTAGAAAAATGATTCATACTAGTTATAACCAACTTTTTGTGTCCAAATTGTTCATTGTGGCCTCCCTTTCATCACATACGGTAGACGGTCTAGTGTCCTATGTGTGTGTGTGTGTATGTGTACGTGTGTAATATTACTCACACCAGTTATGGGTGCTTCCCCACATGTGACTTGGGTGATGGAATCGTCATTTTCACGTCGTATTGCCGCTTTTCTTTTTTCAGCACTAACACACGGGTCACGTGATGAAAATTCTCTTACAGAAAGAGATCGACTACAAATACAATCACCTTCTTCAAGAGTATTTCCTCCAAATCAATGTTCTATTACAGTGCTGTAGGGAGTAATAACGGTATGGGACAGCCATCAACGTCAGCCATTGATTCGAAGATCGAGCAAGCTATGGTAAGTCCGATTTGTCACCTGTACGAGTTTCCCTATCCATTTACGCCGACTTCGGCCAAGTTTAACTTGCTAATTTTTCCAATTTCTTTTTGATAGACACGTCGGAAGACATTGAAAAAGGGTTTACGCCATGTCAGGTTAAGACTAATCTGATTCGATTTACATTTATAAAGGGATCATTACATTCTTTCACTTGTCACTTTGACATTGTCTAGTAATGCAATTTTGAGTCCCTTCAAGTAACCTGTTCAACTGGTATGACAATACAGTACTAAAAACCTCTTTTGTGAATGATATGTCTGAACATATAATGGGAATTCCTGGCCTTAAAAACAATTGTCTTTGAAATCTATGACTAGAAAGATTCTTTCAAGTCGAAAGCTTATTGTTATTGACATTTCTCGGTAAAAACACTCTCCAAAGGAAATATATCGTCTGATTTCTTTGGCTAAGGTATCCTCTTTGGAATACTTGGTGATAGCCTGTCTACAGCTGGTAATCACGGTCAGATGTGAAAGAACCTAACAAGTAGTGCAACTACTCAGTACCACTCCTTGCGTCAGGAATCAGAGTGCACAATACATAGACTTGTAGTGAANAGTGAAGCACTTACAAAATTAAAATTAGAAAAAGCCCCTAATTTCTCCCGTTTTGGAACCTCGTTCATATTAATTTATGGTATTTTGAGCGCTTGGGTAGTGCTAAGAACTTCAAAGGCCGCTTTTTGAAAAGTCAACCCCTGGGGGTAAACAGCACGGCGCCCGAATAACACAAGTACGGGTTCGAGTCCCGTCCGAGACCGTCCGAGTTTTTGCTATAACTCGCCGGCCCTGTAAACTTCTACTTCTAGATTTGATAGCTTCCATAAGAACCTAGGATTCAACCTCAAACGGGAAATACGCGATTCCCACTGAGTTTTACCAGAAAAAGCTCAGTACCCTTTCAATCGCAACAATTTCACCAATACAAAAAAAGTTTGGAAAAACTATTCTGGATACTGTAAATTGTTTTGTAAAGATTGTATCAGTTTCTCTCAAATGTTTTGTGAAATGATCAAAAACGTGGTGATTCCGCTGGTAATTGGCCTATGAACGTCACAAGGCGCGACGAGATGCCGTTTTTTCTGGCGCCACTGATTTTTATCCAATAATTTACTCATAACTTATCAAATACTTGTTACGAAATTACTGCTTACTCAATTCTGACATGTTTTCCATTGTAATACATACCATCTCAAGACGTCTCTATGTCACACCTTTCTTACTGTCCCATGACGTCACTGAACTTTGCCTTCAGTCACGTTGAGAACAGTCTAATGTGTCATTCCATCATAAAAACACGCACAATGTTTTTCTTTGTTACGGTCGTTTATTTACGGTCATTTTGAACAAATGTAATACGGTAGTTATTTTAGGACCTCGTCAAAACCCATCTAATGTTTGCCGTACGTGAAGAACTCGACGTGTTACGAGGGAAGATCACTGAGCTAGAATCGCATGTTCGTCGTTTTTTTTTTTCGGAATACCGTACTTACATACCGGACCTAAGTGCACCACACATTCGAAAATTTGATATTATAAACTCTGAAACCTCAAAAAATTCCTGAAAGAACAATTTATTACAAGAGGCAATTCCTAAACCTTGCCTATGTTGACTACAGTATCCCATTACGGTAATCTCATCCCACATAGCAGTGAAAGGTGATACAACTTGAATTACTGAAGTCCATCCCTTTTGCTGTAGTTCACGAACTCCGCCCCTTTGGCAAATGCTATTATTGGTTGTCATACGGACGTAAAATCAAGTCTGGAAAACGCTGAATAATATTTTAACTATACGGTTACTATTCTCCTAAATCTCTTAATTTTATTCAAAAGCATAATTCACCCTTCGCAAAAGCAATTTTTCCTGGAAGTTTACTTATCGCCTATTGATGGAGGTCATTTTCGAAAGTATTATCTGGAGGGTATAATAATCGGATTGTGAGGACAGTACGAAGGGGATTCATTGCTTAACACAAGCACCATCGAAAGCGCTTGAACTGTTAATGAAGCATCCTATGAAAGTAGGACTAGGATGGGGTCGTACCATGCCCATCAAATTATTTACCCAATTGCAATCATTTTACTTGTAATCTCTGCCGGATAGAATCATCCATGCATCACGTTGGTTCGGAGGTGGGGTAGTGCCAAGGGGGCGGAGTTAGTACCACACCGTACCGTCCAAGGATCAATTGCAGGACCGATTTCGGGCCTGCCCAACCAAGCTTTCATCCTCCAGTGTTAAGTTAGTAAATTTGAATCAGACTCATGTGAAAGGAAAAGGGCGCTTACTCATCGGCCGTCCTCCGACAGTCGTCGTTTGGGCCAAAAATATATTCAAAAATCTCTCCATACCCCTGGAATTCAGAATGGTAGTCGAATGCGTGGCTCAAGTGGCGAAGAAGATATTTTCTTTGTTCCCTGACAGCCATCTCCCTTTTCCCAGCATCATCCACAAGGAATGATCACGGCTCTATATCCTTTTCCATTAGTCTTCATTATTATGGGACTTTCGTTTGTGTTTCTATGGATATCTCCAAAAAAACCACTAAAACGTCGAAGCACTTCCGATATCCTTGAATGGTTTGCCAATAAATCAAGCCGACCTTTAATAGCAACGAATGGGTTTTATCTGTTTGTCTGACGCTACTGTCTAAAGAACTAGATAAGATAGAAGGTTCATGTTTTCTTACTCTGTCATTACTTTCACATGCTCAAAGAAGTACATATATATTTATAGTATTATAGGATCATATTTCATTATATGGATAAAGCTTAAGATCTAGGGGCATTGATCAATCCCGTCTGAAGGATGCGCCCCCGCACTCGACTTCCATTCAGAATCGTAGTGGCGTATTGAATGCGTATGTGGCCTATACAATGATTTGCAGTGGCCAGCCTATGTACAAGTCAGTGCTTTTATCCCCCCAGACGAATCTGGTACCAATTAACAGATCCCGTAGGGGTAGAAACCTCGGTTGGCCTAGGCAGATATCGGTCCGGGATTTGAACCCTTGACCATACGTGTGTGAAGTACACCACTTGCCACTACACCACCTCTTCCCCTTATATTTCATTATATGCAGTATTTATTGAAAATCTTCGTATGCTGTTCTCTTACTGAACCGAAGCTACCGGAGGCTTGAAAAATACATTCTTTTTAGGCATCAAAATTCACCTCTTCTGTAGACCGTCAGCTTCAGTAGCCAGGAAGAAATCGCAAAGGGAACAAACCGTTTAGATATGTATCGGTAACAGAAGCAAAACCACTTCTCAGTGGGACTATTGGATTGAAAGTAAAAGCCCAATCCGAGCTTGATGTAAAAAAATTCCATGGTTTAGTTTCAGCTTAGGAGGTGGGGGCATAACCCGGGGTCGGAGTGTCGAGGGGGATGGGAGGTGGATAGGCGTGAATTCCCCATTTTATGGACTTGGAGTTTGAAACAGCATATTTCTGTAGTTCCATGTTCCCACTCTTCAGTTCTAAAGTACTCTAAATATCAAATTTAATTTCGAAATGATGTCTTTCGAAAAGGATCTAGTCCAACCTATGTCCGTTTCTGAACGCCTTAGGGCCGGATTCCTAGCGATCTAATCACTTCAATATCGGCTTTTGAATGTCTCGGGACTAGGGTTGATGGACGTTCCCTCCTGATGAGTGTCACCTGGTGAAAAGATACGAATTGATCGATGTCGTCATTCGGTCATCAGCTGCTGCTCATGCTTCAAGCGGATATGGGACGCAGTGGCTGTGCAACAGCGCCACCTCCTGATCGATGTGACAGCTGGCTAGGACACTGCGAAATAACGTGACAGCAGTGAGAACCCTCAATGGGAGTTCGCTTGTTACTAGTAGTTACTTATGAACCTCATTCACAACCCATTTGTCCTCTGTGATCAATCATTTCTTTCTTTTGCAACTTTTTTACAAGTAACCCTCAATTTGGACAGCGTTTAAGCGATATAACATAATCTTTCTCGCTTTCGTTCCGATTATTCTTCATTCTCCACTTTCTTACTTTTCCTTTATAGTAAATACTCTTTAAAAATTTGGGAAGACGGGTTAACTCGTCCGAAACGACTAGAAATCGACCTTTAATGTGGTCTAGCTGCAAATGCTGTAATTAGCCGCTCTCGTTGCTAGAAGTGTAACCACGCGCATTCCATTCTCGAATCGATCCTTTCTATTCTTCTTACTTACTTTACACTACAGTAATCGCTGTTCTATTCTGCAAGCTTCTAGTGAAAGTCATTGCTGCCATTACAATTACATTTGATGGACGCGTCCTATAATTTCAATAGGCAGGCTCGACGTTCTTTTCGTTTTCTCGTCAATGAACTGGAAATTAGGTAGCAAATGTCTCATGATCAGAACTGAGCAGCGGCTTAACTGAGCAAGACTTTTCTGAGCCCTTTTGCAATCTCCTCTTGAGCTGAAGTAGAAGAGCATATTGCTACTGTCGTTTGCTGTCGTCGAACTCCTACTGTCGTCTAAACTCTTTCAAATGGATTTTCTAGGCCACCAATATTTTTATCAAAATATAGATTGTTTTGAATTGCTACATAGTATTCAGTAATTTTGAAAATTTCGAGCTTCAATACCCAATTTACACAATTCTTTACCTCTAATGGCCAAATTTCGTGGCAGTACGCTCTTTAGCATGCTGCTGTGCAGTAGGGCGGTCTGCTCCCTCTCCAACGGTGCTACATGGGAAAGGACGTTAGCTCAAACCCAATAACTCTCAGTCATGCATGGGTTCTTCCCTTCCTATTGAAATAAGATATATTCTAAAATATTACTAATGGGCTTCACAAGTTCATTTAAAAAAATGCCATCGGTTTTAGAAATCGAAGATTATCCTGCAACGTTCCCGTCTTCGTGCTACCTCTGAAGATAGGCCCTTATTGAAATGTTTCGATCAAATGAAGGGTATCTTAACTACTTACAATATTAAAATGTGTGGAGCAGGTTTTTCCCAGTATTACAAAGTAGTTTTACTCGATTTTTGATGACTTTCATCGAACTTTGAAATAATCGTGGACTTTAATTCTTTTGTATTATTTAAGAGCGCTGCGTGATATCGCTGATTTTTCATGTTTCTAATTTTATCATTCAATGTCACAAGCAGTCCTTCAATTGAATCTCTTATCTCTGAAACTCCCTTGCGTGTGAAATATTACCTTTTTCGCCAGTGCCAACCAGTTTGGGATAGCCGGGTTCAATCTGTCCATGTCTGGGCATAATTCTGACAAGCGTCCACGATGGAACGTCCCCTAGCCGCCTGACATTGTTTTTTTCTCATAGAAAGGTGGTGGGCAGAAAAAGAAGAGAAAGGCGGAGAGATTTCACTTTCGCTGGGGCTATCAAAAGATTGGACACCTTGCCGGTTGGGTCAGTGACACCTTGCTGGTTGAAACTACCCGTGGAACGCAAAATCAAACGTGCAAAGTAGCACGAGGATTGCAATTCACATAACCTTTATGTAAAAAAAGTAACCAGTCAAGTGCAGCTCTCGTCTATCAAAGTAAGCATGGGGACACCTTAGTTTGGTCTTTAAACGTTTGCCGTCATATGCCGAACTTCTAGAAAAAGGTTAACTTTGGTGTATGAAATGTGACTTTTCGCTCGCGTGTTGGACGGGCCAAAGGACCACCACTTTTTCCCGCTTTACACTTGAAATTTTGATTTCCTCATTTGTTTAACGCAGTTTTGTGATCATAAGTGAGAATGGTTCTTCGAATTTTGTCAGTGTGGGTGTGCGATTTCGATTCTAATGACTCATATTTATGCTGGGACCAATCTTTCAAGCGAAACTTAAGATATGTACCTTTCGGAAACGGTTTTCGGTACAGGCATATCTGCTGAGGCGAAACATTCGGGCATCAACTGACTCGTACCCTTCCCATTTCTGAACTTTTACTGCCTCCATGGCGCAGACCATATAAGATGTCGTGTGCTAATCATTTTATTATTTTTTGTTGTTGCAAATTGGGAATTTCCGACCTTAAAGTCTTCAAACGCCTTAGCATTTCTATCGTTCCGTTTTTATAATCTCTGTAGACCCTTCTCTTTCTGGAAGGAGAACAGACAGTATAAGAAGTAATGTCATAATTACCACTGAAACCCTTAAAAATTCAAAAATAATCGTTGATCATTCTCCTCATGTGAATGTAGACAGAATTTAATGGAAATATGAGGTAAAATGTAGAAAAATATGTATTTTTTCCTCCTGTTTTTCCTTGCCCTAATCTCCCATCGTCATGGGGCCCACTCTTGTTTTTTTTTGTCACCCTCTATTAAAAGAATTTTTCAAAATTACACATATTATCTCGTTTCTTTGAATTATTCCTTATAATAATTGAACTGTACTGATAATAATAAATCGCTTTTTTCGACCCAACAAGTTTACTTTTACTCGTAGAGAATTGACTGATTTTCCGAAATTTAGATCTACCGCCTCGAGACAGAGAATGCCGTCTTCAAGGCGAATATTCCTTCCGACGTCCTGAGGAATTTGTCACTTGATCAGTCAAATTAATTCTTTGATGTTACAGCCGATCGTGGCCGATTAATTTGTTTCGGAAGGGAAATATTTCAGGAGCATTATTGATTATTAATAATTGTAAGAAGTGCTTAATACTGGTGGACTTTAATTCCTTTTGTATTATGAACGAAAATTCTATTTTTAGATTTGCATTTAATCATCATATATTATTTTGTACATACTATGTGATAATGACGTATAACACTTTGTTGACGTACAACACTTTGTGTATACAGATTTTTATATGAACGTGATAAAATAAAGCTAATATGAATCAGATTCATTTCTGATGATGGTGTTGAGAGCGTCCGGTCGTTTCCGAAGTTATGTGGTCCATCTGATTCTTCGCTCTAATCCGTGCTATCTCTGGCTGTTTTCATAGTCCGTCGACTGACCCGAGAGTGCGCGCGGTATCGATCAATATTCAGTTTGTGAAAGGTGGCCGGCGGACTATGAAAGCAGCCTCTCATAAACTTTTTTGTACCGGCGATTTCGATGACGTTTCTTTCCTAAATATTTTTTTCTATTTTCTTGAACTCAGGACAAAACGGAGTGCCCTGAAGGCTGATCGATCTCATCGCCCTTCGAGCGAATTAGTATGAGATGAGCCGTGCACAATGGGAGCTGTGATGTCTCAACTGGGATTCAATCAAGCCTTTCTGCTAGCACTTATCGGTATTCTCGCTATGCTTGGTCTCACAGTTATGGCTATTGGTGAAGATGAAAGGGATCATCAAAATAACTACATTCTTCCGTTAATTCGAGTACGTTCACCGGCAACAACAGATCGAAAAGTCATCTGATATTTATTGATAATTTGTGATTATATTGTTTCACATGTAATAAATGTACATTACGTAGTGTAACTGGGTATGTGTTTCAGGATGATGAAGTGAAGTGTTCGCTTCTATGCTTATAAACCAAAAGTTTTGTTTGCTCGCCTGTCTGTCCGTGTCTGTTCCGTCTGTCTGTCACTGGGTCCGTCCATTTCTTACCTTGATTAGCTCTATATATTCGGAAAGGTGATTAAGCCGGTATGTTTGGGAGGATAAGAGTTCTGAATGGTACATTGGGTGGCCACAGCAAGTCATTGTAGAGACCACCCACGCATTCAATACGCCACTGCGTTTCCGAATGGAAGTCGAAAGCGGAGGCGCATCCCAAGATGAGAATGATCAACGCCAAAGCTTTATACCTTTTCCTTTATTTTGCCTCTTTTTTACACTTCTGCGAGTAACTTGTTGGTGTATAAGTATGTGCGATATCCGGGAGGGAGGGCGGTAACCACCTTTCCACTTGGAAATAGCGGAAGCTGGGTGAAAGCAAGAGTAAACTGGCCACTTATAGAGGCACCACTTTGAAAACGAGAGTCTAAAATCGAAGAAAAGTCGAGCACACTGGCCCTTTTCTGGGCTCTGCACGAAAAAGTAACGAATAGCGATATCGACAGACAATAGTCTGAAGGCAGCTCAGTCTGGAAAAAAACTTTGCAAATGATAACTGGCACATGGAAGTAATCTATGTACGACAGAACATTAGCGACAGAGAATAATTTCCAGGAGGTAGACGCAAATAAGTTTTCCATTTCCTAGGTTTCCAACGAAGGGCAGCATTCTGTAATCTGAAAGGGGTAACCTTGTGGTTAAGAGGTTGGTATAGATTCTCTGAATCCCACCAAAGGTTCCCTGAAAGGTGCCTATTCTGCTTATTCAAAAGAATAGTCCTTCCTTGCATTACTGGACTGTAGTGATTGGTGCCGTCCAATATCTGGTCCCCTCCCTTCTACCCACCCCCTATCATTCCCGTACCCCTTCTCACCTCTCTTTCTCAATGATTTTCACGCGTTGGCCATCACGGTGGACACTGCTGATGAAGTCTGATGCAAGGAGCTTACTTCGGTCTCTACCAAACAGTCGAAGATGGGTGTGTTCAAACAACCTGAAGTGCCTTCTGGCCATCGAAACCTGAATGAATCAAAGTACCCGTCCGATATGGGATAAGTGTGCTGAACCAAATGTGTGGCACACGCCACCTAACTCCATGGGTACAATCAAAGTAGTTTCAGTACGGCCCGCTGCCAGGAAAATGGTCCGGGACCAGTTTCGGGATCGCTGCTCTCCTGGACCATCGAGATCCCATGTTATTATAGAAAGGGCCCATAGCTTCTTTTTATGAATAATTTCTGATTATAGTAATAGACGCTTCTTCTACTTAACATTTCCTAATGGCAAAGTAATGATATTGGAAGCTTGAATATTCCCTCCTGCGAGTCAACCAACGGGATTCAAATTCCCGCCATTTCCCGCTACAGTACATCCCGCACAATGATTTGCAGGTCAAATCGCTTCTCCAGCTATCTTTTGAGAGAAATGTAATTTTATTAGTGTTAGGAGAGAACTATTGAGAAGATTTCGAAATGTTTGGAATGAGTAGAAGTGTCAGAACTCAATACAAAAGTAGTACAGCTAATGGAGCAAAGAGAGCTTTGATATAATTCCCGTCCGGTTTTGGCAACAAAACTTCATACGAAAAGCCTCATTTTTGAGCCGCCATGAGATTGATCCACATTCCAGTTGGCTTTCTCGGTAATAAAACTAATTATCTTCGGACTACACTTTATGCTAGAGGAAATCTAAAGAAAAATAAATGAGTTACTCGAGGCTGTGCTCGTTCTTCTAGGAGTGCTCTGAAGTGTTTGTCGTCAGCATCCGATCTCGATCTTCCAGAGTTCCTACTTTTGCGAAATAGATACACTCGGGCGTCCAATGCTGACGTTTCCCCCATGTCCAAGAGCCCAAGGTTTGAAGAGATTTGAACTCCCGCCATTACCTGCTACAGTATACCCCGCCCAACGATTGCAGATCAAACCTTTTCTCGGACTGACTTCTTTAATAGAATACAATTTTATTAGTGTTAGGAGGGATTTTTTAGGAGAATTTCTTGAATGGTTATACAAAACAATGTTCAGGGTTCTTGAAACAATTACACTAACATGCGTTGATACAATGAGAACCCAAAATCAACCCCGTCCCGACACGACTCCGACACCCTCGATACGGAATTTGAGATACGAGGCCAGTGTTATCTGAAATCAGCCTAAATCTGGTTAATGAGTACTACTGGTAATGTGAAACTTACTATGAGTAGACCAGCGATCCCGATAAAGGGGTCGGAAGGTAAAGTGGGATATGCTCAATTCACTTCATCACCGTGGCCTCTGCTCTGAGACTAATCTGAAGTGTCCGTCGTCATCCACTTCATTGAGAAGACGTTCTTCTTCTTAAGGGCTTCTGCATACACTTGAACAATGAAGATTTTCATTCCCTCTGCTATTGCCGTTGCGATGTTTGAATTCCCGCCATTGCCTGCTACAGTACATCCCGCATGGGATTTGCGTGGCAAATCCTCATTGATTGAACCGATCGCATAAAGAAATACAATTTTATTAGTGATAAGAGAGCATTAATAAAGAAACTTTTTAAATGTTTGCATAGAGCAAGGAGGGTAGTACGCGAAACAATTAGTATTACAGCAGTTAGAGCGGCGATAGCTTTAAAACAATTCCTATCTGATTTTTACCACAGGAAAGGCAGAGGCTTGACGGGTTGAGAAAGGGCCAGCTCGCAATATTTCTAGGGAGACCTTTAAACGTCTGTATTAACTGCGACTTGACTACTGATCATGGAAGTAAATTCAAGTGTTAATGGCTTAAGGCGACTTAGCTCTCAGTCAAACTATGTTTTCCATCCTTCTAAGGCCGATTAACTGGTCATGGACTTGTCTGTGAATATAAAAGCGCTCAATTCCCTATCAGCTTTACATTCGCAGTTTTTTTAGGCTATTAGGTTACGTGAAGAGAATCTGTCGGAAATCTTGCATAGTCCAGCTTTCTGCTGGGATTTTCTGGAAAATTCCATGGGGTTCCCGTAGGGATACTTCCTGTGCATATACGCACACCATATCCGGCTACCTTTCGTGCTTATTTGACCACATAATGACCGATCTGTCTAGCCATATTCAATAAGTACTCCTTTACGAGTTTGCTTCCATCCACTCAACAGCTGAAAACCATTGGAACTTGGGTCAGGCATTCAGTCATGAAGNGTGCCCACCATTTCCAGCGCTTTCACCCTGGAACAAAAAGACCGAAGATGAGCCTCTATACGGTCAACCGACTGTAGTATTATGAAACTTTCTGATATGTTATGCGCACACAAGTGAGCGTCGTCCTCCATATCACATATTTCCATGGAAACTTCCAAAAAATCAAAGAAAACTTAGGACTTTTGTTATAATTTTGTGAGATACTTCCCGCACAATCTAACAGATTCACATTCAAACGCAACTAAGCATCCGAATGGAAGTCGTGTGGGGGTGGGTTGGAGGGAGGGGGAGCGTGCCGGGACCCATTATCGACGGCAGAAGATTTTAGTCTTTTATCCCGACAGAACGGGAACGTACAAGACAATTTCTTGCTACCCTCAGAGTCTCCATTCCGCAAATCCGAATAGAACGTGGGAGAAATTACATTTATTATTCAAAAAAATCGGTACTTATCAAAAACATGAGCTCGTTCATAAAGACTTGGGCAAGGCAATAACAGCACAGTTTAAGAGACAGAAAATCTAATGCTTTCTTGAATGACACCAGAAAAAAGACTACATACAACTCAATAGCTAATATAAATAAACATCTATTAACATTTGTGTACATACAGCACGAAAGCACGGTTGGTCGCAAAAGGAAAAATAGCGTCCTAAATCGATAATTGATCGACAAGCGATTCCAGGAGGAATATGGGCAACCGTGTATATATATCATGGATGCTGAGATCATAAAACTATTCCGGGAACTGACGATATTCAAACTAGTAATCGTCTTTACCATAATTACAAGATAGTACTCTATGAGGAATTCATATTGAATAAATATTTTCAAGGCACAGAAACAACGAGAATCATGAGCGTGGGGTTCTGAATTTGTGAAAACATAAAAATTTACAATATTGTTTGTAGTACTGTTGCGTCTAGAATATCAGCATGATGAAGAAATCGACTACAAAAAGCGCTTTCCTCTTGACATTCCTGACTTTCGGATGATTTACCGAAACATGGAGCTCCTCCATCGGATGGCGGAGGTGAAACACACGCACGAACCCTGTAAAATTTAAATACTCGTGATCAGAAAGATTTTACCACAAATCCTTCAAAATGAGTGATGATTTTCGTGAAAAGGGCAGCATTAGCTTTTTGCAGAATCACTAGAGCTGTAGAAGATGAGCTTTCGAGAACGGGCCATCAAATATGCGATTGAGGGCAATGTCTGAATAATATTACACGGAAGCGCGCGTTTGCGCAGCGGTTGATGGCGTCATGGCACAGTCGCGATAAAAAACGCTGAGAGGGGAACAAAGAAAGCCGCTTGGGATAGACTTAATTTTTTTAGTTGTTTCCCTGAATGCAAGGAGTACGCTTGCACGGAATCACTCAAAAATCGCGCTACTAATTCCTCGGACTTTGGTTTAGTTTCTGTCATATTTTGCTCTGGTTTAAGATAAAACCTGTCTGCCGAAGCCAGTAAAACAAGACAGTCACGGTCTGTTCATATTCAGGCCACTATGCTACGCAATTGGCACCTTTTTGTAAAGAATTCCATGCTATGTAACAGAAAATTTTCTGCAGAACCAACATACAGGACACGGTCATACCAGTTACGGCTATGCAAAACTCAAGTGCAAAATTAGGAGCATTGAACAGAATACCCACTTGGGGAGGGATAAAACAAGTTAATTCTCAATGTCTGCACTTAAGGAGCCCTACCTCGTTCTTGAGCCCAGACCGCAGTTGCCCATACACGGGGACCATTCGTTCCACGCTGACCATTCACCATCCGTTGACTCTATAACGATGTGCAACTGAACTGAACTGGGCAACATGAGGAATGAATTCAATAAAAATTTTGCGTGAAATCTGTAAAAACTCATGTGCTGTGAAACAAAATAAATGTAATCCATGCAAACGACGTCTCGATCATGTGACCAGCCATTGAATCGAGGAAACAAAAGAAAACAAATAAATGCATGTGAACAGTGTCCGCAGAAACAATTGACAAAACGGTTGGAAGGGGGCGACTTATGTGTGTGAGAAGCGCTAGTGATCAGCGCCTAAGATCTGCTCTTCAACAGGAATTATACATTTTTCCCTCTATGGTTCAGATTGAATTGAAGGGCGGGATATTTGCTTTTGGGCGTGACTCATCTTGATGCGAGTCAATGTGTTCATGGCGCATTCTGGTTGGATTGGGGAGTATTTGCTGGGGTTTGCCTAGTGATGTTTATGCATATCTAATCTCGATTATCAACAAACGTGACAACGATAATGTTGTAAATGAAGTCAATGTGTCTCAGAAGTAGGAGTGTGTAACGCTATTCCCTCCGCGCGGCAAGTATTAGCTAGCTGCCTCGCCGCACGGCATGTCGCACAAGTACGAGCCCGTCGCGCTAGAGGTACATACTGCCGATAATCGTGTCGCTATTTCTTGAAAAAACGACCATACTTTCACCTACGCTTATTAAATAGGTTGGGTTTACATCGGGATTTCTCGTGAGCTGCAATCAGAACACGACCCTTCAAAGCTGTTTTCTGCTTCATGTGAACCCTAATTCAGATTGAAGGAACAAGTTGTCCGCGGACACTGTGAAATTGTGGCAATGAACGTAAAATGTGCGAACCGTTGCATGATTCAGTGCCGCAGACTGACGTCTGGTGAGCTAAACCGTGGCAGACCTGTCCACCTGATGATGGAGTAGGATTATTACATGCACGATGCCGTGACTGTATAGCGAAACCACATCCATCTGGACATTCGCTCCATGCAGACCACTTTCCCCAACCACCGTTCACCGCTGTAAGTGCAGAGCATCCAAGAAAAAAAAACGTGAACAAAATAGGCAAAACATAAAATTAGTGAAACCATTCCTGAAAAAGCAGAAGAAAAGATCAAATGTTTCATTTTAAAAAGGTTACGAATCACTTCACTTCCTAACTACCTAGCTAGGTCTATATCTTTGGAAATAGAGTTGTTATTAAAATGGCTTCCGCGATTTTTTGTTATTAGGATTGGCTCCGAAGAAGGCCTATGGGGCTTTGCAGGATTGAAGGAGTCCTAGACAAGCCGCACCTCCCAAAAAAGGACGTGTTCAGCGCCCGTGTAGAAACCGATAACATTAAAAGAGGAGCACGTTAGTTGTAAATGCAGTCAGGTGTTAAGCCCTGCAGGACCGAATCTCGTTCGAACTCCTTTTCGCCGTCACAATCTCGTCCAACTACAGAAAAGACTTATTATAGAGAGGCCTTACACTCCGGATTTTTCGCAAATTTCCTCACTACCTTCAATGGGCCATTTCTCCTTAAAGGCACTGTTCACAAAAAAGTGGTTCGGAGATTTGCGCATGGTTTGAATTCGAAGCCCCCTCTGGTACCATTCGTACAGGAATGAGGTCGGAAAACGGCTGGATAGGGCACAATAAAGGGCCGGAGAGATATCCAC